AGAAACAAAAAATGCATGTTAAACGCCTTTACCCTGTAAACAAAATAGGAAAAAGAAAAAAGATATAACACACATAGCTCATAAATCAAAAAGATTCCTATTTGTTATAGCTATATTCAGTACATTTGCATTAACTAAAAAGTATATGTATAAACGAATGTTTACCAAAGTCTGCAAATGGTTTCTATTTTGCCATACAAGTATCATATTAAGTATTATGAAAAACTGTCTCAAACAAAAATACCTTTATATTTCAGCATAGTCATATTGTACCAAAACAATAAAGCATATAATAGTCTTATGTACATAGAAGTATTAGTACCATACTCTTAGTTTACGCCTTTTAATAACTTCAAATGATTTTAAAAGTAATACATTCACAGTTTTTTATTGATCAAGAACAGTTCATGCATATTCATTTTGTACTACTAGGATCTCCTCATGGAATTACTACACTGTTATTGTAAGACTAGAAATCTTTACGAAATATGAAAAACATCACAATGACAGAGAAATAAAGTTGTCTTTGTTGTAATTAGGACTTCAAATTGAAAATCATCGGCTATGATTAACTAAACCATGTGCTTTAAACATTTTACAAATCAAACGACCGAAAGTACTTAGATCTAATGCGTGAAATAGATAACATGATTTAAATGGACTGCACTGAGATTTTTTGACATAATGGGACTGATTTTTTTCCCAGATAAATGTGCCATTTGATGTAGGTTTAAACCACTTATATATAATCATTCGTGCACATCGTTTTTTTTCAGAATAATTATACAAATTGCAAAAAATGACCCAAAAATGAAAAATCTGGCTAAGAAAAGCATAAAATGTGATTTACAATTTATTTCAAAGTATATTTTTTAACTATCTTAGCATATATTTCTGTTTTAAGTTCATTAATGTAAAAAAATCAAATATTATGTTTTTATGATTTTAAACCTTAGTGGAGTCCCTTTAAGCGTTCATGCGGTTTATGCCTAACGACTTTGTACATTTGTTTCTATACATATTATTTTAATAATTATTATATTATACATATTTCCGATCATCTGATGTAGAGATAAACGGGGTGCAATACATCGTTGTAGATGATCCGGATTCTGGGAGAAATCATTAAATGTTGAGGTAACATACGTAAGACGCAGGATTCAGAGATTATACAGAGGTTTTTAAAAAACAGTTAAATATATTTATCACACACCCGTGCCGATTTTGCGACTCCGTAAATATGGTATTGCACGGCCGTGCATATATTTTGACGTGACGTCATTAGCGTTATACAAACACAGTGTAAAGACGCGCTAAATGTTAACGTTATACTATAGGCGCGTCGATGAAAAATGACTCTTATTTCACTTTAAATGTTCTTTATTTGGGTATGTGATAAATAGAATATTAAGCCTCGGTCTCACTTACTCCCGGCAGAGCCCAGGATCATCCCGGTAACTTACCGGGATGATCCGGGACGATCCGGGGTGAAATTTTTGTTGCGGTCACACTTACCCCGGCAGCACTACGGTAGTTCTCAACTAACCACCCGAAAAAGATAACATTGATACATAATTTTTATCTATTATAATATCTATTGTTCCAGAATAGTATTTCGTGATGATTTTCTGAAAAATCCTTATGCCATACTGGATAGAAGAGAAATGGGAGGGGTTTTAATACCAACAAGTGCATATAATCGCAAATTGTCGTTATTCTTTTGAAATGATCCGGGCTTTGCCGGGGCTCTACGGGATCAACCGTAGCTCTACCTTTATCATCCGGGGCTCTGCCTGTAGTTGCCGGGGCTCTGCCGGCAAATTTTCCGGGGCTCTACCGTAGCTCTACAGTTGCTCTACCAGCTTTATCATACCCCGGATCATCCCCGGTTTGTGCCTGCAGAGCTACGGTGCTTCCCCGGTATAACCCCGGTCGTTCCCGGCAGAGCTAAGGATGAAGCCGGCAAAGCTATACCTTCGCCGATCATCCCGGACCACCCCGGTGATATTAAATATTTTATTCCATCTGGGGTCGAATGCCGGATGTTCCTGGATCATCCAGGATCATCCAGGACGTTGCCGGCAGAGTTACGGATGCACTCCGGTTGTTCCCGGTCGTACTCCGGTCGTTCCCGGATCACCCCGGACGTCTACCGGGGCTCTGCCGGGGCTCTGCCGGGAACTCATTAGCTTTATCCTCTATATCATCATATACCAGAAGATCATAAATCAGAAATTCACCTAAAATATCATACCTGAAGAGATACAATTTGTTATAAAACATTTGGAGATTTTATTCCTTTTTAGATATGTAATATATATTTTATTCCCACAAAATACTAGAAAGACGCAGTTTTGTTCGATTATTTAGGTTGCAGTGTTTTTTCTATCTCAGTGTCGGGGTTAGGATTGAAGGAAATAGAAATATAAGTGCAAGTTTATATTTCTTGCATAGAGAAAATTGAAGAAGAACATTTAAGTCAACAATTTATATAGGCAATTGGTTTAAACATATTTATTTAAGCTCCATTGCGAAACAAGTTCTTGCAACTTATATTAATCACTTTCGAGCCCGCTTCCTGGAACCAACCAGTACTGGTGTCATATGGAGAAACATGGTCGTGACCCGAGTAGGGCTCGAACCCAAGATGTCTGGGTTGAGAGGCAGACCATTAAACCACTAGCCCACCGCTCCCCTTATATAGGCAATTCAGTTTTAACAACAATCAACATACTTTACTAGTTGTATTATCATCTTTTTAATTTTTTCTTTTTATTATAGATTTAATATGATTTTTTTCCGGCTAAAAATAAAATTTTTAAAATTTTTTGAATATACATGATTCAGGGTAATTGTGCGGATGGAAAAAATATCCCTTTTAAAATTTAAAATTTTAAGGCAAAAACTTTAGGTAAACCCCAAAGGCTTATCAAAGTTACATGTTTTTACATATAATTTCGATAAAAACATACTTAGTTTAATTAGTAAAATCTACTTTCACTAGTAAGCAATTCTTCTAATTTGAAAAATTATGATTAACACAGAAATACCGTTTTTAATACTCAATATTGTGTCCAACCTATTTTCAATGTAACATTTAACCAATCAACTGAATGGCAGTACAGAAATAGGCCCGCGGGGCATGAACATAAGCATGTAACATGGATAAATCGTTCTGAATGATAACTAAATGATCTTTTAAAGATTTCGAGATGTATTTCTTCATATATGCAAAGTTCCTACAAAAACGAATGCAAAAACGTATTATATTTTGTCGAAGGGTCATATTGATGCTTAGTGTTCTATGTTTTTTCTCAATGTATGTCCGGTATTTTACACCGTAGATTATGTTATTTACATGTCCATGTCATGTATGTTGTATTTGGTAATGTATATATCTTGTGAAGTCCTATATTTGTGTATCTTTTCCTATTATTCATCAATTCATCATTTCATTCATTTACTCATTCATTCATTACTTCATTCATTCATTTATTAACAAGTATGTACTAACCACTAGTACGGGCCTCAAGCCTAAATATTCTATTTCCGCACTAAATACTTTCACGCATGCGCACTCGTTCTGAAAATGTTCATGGCGCGTGCCAGACTTCATACTATTATCAAATATTTTCTGAGAGCGTATTTCAAGCCAAGAACCTTTCCCATATTATCTAGTTATCTAGTGGACTGCGACATTGTATCCAACCTCCTGGTAAATTGAACGTTATCACATTTAAGCCGTAAGCTATACAAACTTTTACCTCGACTTACTGTGGAATACACATGAAAGGAATAAATAAAATTCGGATATTTAATTTGTTACTGAACATTTAGAACTCAATAAATCATTCTGAAACTATTAAATTGATATTAAGTGGCGCTGGAAAGAATGAATTTAAATTGATAGTGATCGTGAAATGAATTTCGGAAATCATTTTACAGTTCACAAATAACATACATGCTACATGTATTATCCGGTAGCCAATGTAAAGTATTGTCCCAATACTTCGTCATTTGAAAATTTGACGGTCTCGGAAGTTTAAAACCATTCCTATATTTCATCTAAAAGATAAAACTTAACTTTTAAATGAGTTCCCTTCTCCTACAATTTACGGATATCAATGCAATGCACGGAAATTATTTAAAGAGAAAGAAAAGAACTACCCTTTTCATTTCTTTCACTCATGTAAACGAAGTTTTTATGTTTATCACGGGCGATCTCCTAACCTTAGATCATTAAGTATCGTTAACAAAATATGTTTCTTGTTTCAAGATGCAAATATTAAAAAACTTACAGAATAAATTTATAAAGGCTCTTAGAAAATAGTGTCATTTTTTATGCTACATGCTCAATTGAGCCAAACTATTTCAAGAAAATCAAACAAAAATAGTGTTCTTAAATTCTAAACAAAGATTTATTGTTTAAGAAATAGTTTTTGTGTGCCACTAATGATTGATGGTGCAGTGTTTATCACCGTATTTCTCCTGCGTGACTAACGTGTTAGGGCTATATTTGCATATTTTGACTTGTTTGACTTGTTTGTGGTAATTGGTAATGTATATGGATTGCAGAAACCGTTTGCAATGTATAAATTACTTTCTTGTTCGCATCATAACATTTTATCTTTAAAAACATATTCAACATTTTTATGAAGATAAGCATGCATTTAGAGTGACTTAGGTCAGTTTAGATTCAGGTCAATGTCGTTATGAACACTAATTTGGCTTCATTAAAAGTTATAAATGATACATTTGAATGACATTTGAATAACATAAATCAGATTGTTTAAATGTGGTAGGAATTTGTTTAACTGCAAACGATTAAAATTTCAATAATTGAATATTCTTATAATCAAACAATGATTACATTTTAGTAAAGCCAGACTCTCTGAAAAGTTACATCTATTGTTTTGTATTGAATCACAATCTCGCAAAAACTCAGATTTTAATGTGATGACGATGCGTCAGATATTATCTTAATGACTATTTCAAAGTTAAAATATAAATTTATCAATTTACCTCATTTCACAAAGTGGTGTCCGTTTCCAGTCACATGGGGCGTCAATCCATTCATATCCATGACCCTCGGCAATGTATACACAGTTTTGTGCCTTGCCACCATTCGGTTCAGAAGTGAGTATATGCCAATTAGTAAAATTAGCTACCTGGTTGTTGTCGTACCATCTCCAAATTCCTTCTGTAACTTCATCTGTCAGCCCGATCCAGTGAATGGAATCTATTGTAAAAAAAAATGGCAGAAAAGTTCATATCAAATGTATTAGACTTATATATTTGTATGAGCACATACCCTATTTTGATACACAGTGTCATACATTACAAAAGGGACCCAAAAGAGGTTTTAATTAATAAAGGGACTCATCTCTATAAATGTGTTCTGTTTTGCAAAATTTTAACATGTTTAAATAGTAAGGTATTTTGTAAATATACGTAATGAAATATTGTAGTTATAAAATAGTCTTTAAATCTACAATAGTTCATCTAATGTGTATATTCAACCTGATTGCACAATCTGTAAACTTGTTAATATATTATTATACATCTCTTGTCATATGTAAATATGTTGAGTGTATCAATAAACTAAAAAGTTGTAAGAATATATCCGGATGATGATTTTCTATTTTATTTATCGGTATAGAAAAAATGGCCATTGTATCTATTTTCTAAGTTCTTATTACGAAGTTTGTCCAAAAAGCCGAAAATACTTTTACATTTCTATAAGATAAAAACAGATCGTTGTAGCATTTTGAAGTCTATACATAAGTAGGTTCAATATATTTCCTCTTAACATGCCGAATTTCATACATTTTAATATATGTTTATTTTAGAAATATCGACTTCATTTTGACGTCATTGTGATTCCATGTTACTAGACATGCAGGATTGGCATCCGGGCTACAGGATTAGTTTGCTTTCCAAGCATGTCAATACTTTTTACGTATGTGTTTGGTAACTTTTAACTTTACTACTGGATGAATTAATCCTGCTTGCTGTAACAAATGTTACACTTTTTAATAAATGACACCAAGATACAAGTGTCAGCGAATCGCAAAAAAATTCTTTTTTTTAATTTATTGTACATTGAAACAGAGTGTTTAAAATTGAAAACACGTTTTGTCAATGAAAATCTTCAACACGTGGTAGAACTATTTCAATCCGTATTGTTTCAAGGTTATTATAGATAAAAGCCGAGGATGTTCCGATTGGTGCGATGGTTGGCAAACTTTTCGAACTATTTAACAGTCAGACACATTTATGTATAACTTGCAAGCGGCTAGATATTTTGAAAGAAAATAAGTTTGTGAGCTAAAAAATGCAAAAACAGCGTTCTATATTCATAATAGAACTTGTATGCGACCATTTAGGGGTTAACCTCGAATACATGACTTCGGTTAATGATTAAAGCAGAAAGTGACCTTTTTAACGTACAAATTTGTTGTAGAAATATACAAAAAGTACCAGAAATGATAGTCAATGTTTTTTTCATAGTTCATGCTTTCCAGTGTTTTACTGTAATATATCAGATAAACATCGGTGATATTTATATAATATAATTTTCACTGCTGCCGGACTATATCTGAATGCAGATGAAAAGAAATTCATAGCTAAATGGAATAACAGGCAAAAATGAATGCCATCATACGTAAATTTTGCTTCTTTAGGAACCGAAAGTCGTTGTCATCATACATCATGTTAAACATAACTATATTTCACAATTGATGATGTGACGTATAAATATAATTATTTCAATCATACATGTGAAACAAACGAATATCCTCTATGAATATTTATGAATAAAATCGCGTTTTTGTGTTTGGCAATGTTTCCGAATTTTAATGCATTTATTGAACCGTTAACACAGTCAAGCATTTTGTACTTTTGTGACAACTTATTGGCTACTTACAGTCCGGAGCCATTTAAATGTAACGTAATAAAAAAGAACACATTTACATTTCACGACTGTGTAAAACTAAAAGCATTATCGAGAATGGATGAGCAGTTTTTTCCCGGGCCTGATTCGGAAATCTCTCGTAGCAATAATATTTAAAACAGCTTACAATAACAATTCGTGACTATTTAGAAAAGTCAACATTAACATTCCTTGACTATTTTGAACAGCTTTCGTTATCATTTTGTGATTTATTTTCAATAATTATCATTCTCACCTGATATTGATACCGTACCTTTAAGATCCGATAAATAACTTTTCAGGAATGCATTTTCAGTTGCATCATTTACATGAGTTAAATATCCTCCAAGATGTTCACAGAATCGCTGTAACAAAGAACCATGGATAAATATGAGTTCCACTTATCATTCTATCCATCAGGTCAATACATTGATTCCTGCTAATAAAGTGCTTTAATAAATGTAGCTTTATTAGTTACCCTCAGCTTTATCAGACACCTCATCAATACATATTGAAATCTATGGTGGCATATTTCTGCCACCAGATAACCTGATAACTAACTAGTTAATTATGAGGTTAACTAGTTTCGTGGACATGCATTATTAATTGTTTGCCGTGAGATACATTATCAACATGTATATGTTAAATATGAAATCCATTTATTTCAGGTGTTACCAACATCCTTCTAAACATGCTTTAAAAACTTAAATACTAATTGTAGATTCGCTACTTCAATTATATAACATGGTGGGAACTGTAACCTCCGCCACCTTTGCATAGGATTCATCGTGAAGTCGTAGGTACTCCTTAATCTCGACTACCACTTGGGTTCGAGGGTCGGGAGTGCACTTGCCACGGCCTGGGGCGCGTGCTATTGCAGGAAGATGTTATTGGAGCTTTTATGCCCAATGTCGCGCTCTTGTTGAATTGAGGTCGACGATAGAGCAGGCGGAGACCACCAGTTCCCTCCGATCTAAATTTTTTCTCTATAACATTTATTATAAAATATTTTCAATATTTTCACTTTAAAAACGAGTTTATATATTATTTTCCAACTTTAACTAAAGGGAAGTTAATGCAACTATATATGTCATGTAGTGCCATTTTTGCTACCCCCCTTAATCTGCCATTATGTGCACTTTATTACATTTACAGTATTAAAGTTTTCATGGAATTTCTATTCTATTCCCTTTTTCTTGTTGACATCCCTATTTCTATCTTGAACATGATTCGCATGTTTAATGAAAAAGTATATTCATTTTGTTTAATACTTTTCACGCACCAAGATACTGTGTTATATGTTTAAAAATGTTAATAAGGCTGTTGAGGTACAATTGTCAATTTAATACTGCGCATGAATTTGTTTCATTTATTTATATTCATTCATATATCGGACAATAATTATCCAGGCCTACGGCGAATCTCAGCTCAATATTGTACAAAATTCTACAACAACGCATCTATTTCCTACATCTTAATGTATTTGAGAGATCATATAAAAAGAAAACATAAATGGCACGCAAATATCTGTAAAAATGCTTTATAATTGTTGCCTTAAAAAGCTTTGTTTATTCATCTTAACGGAAGCTGAACATGTAAAAAAGAACAGCCGCATATACATGAAGTCTCTGACAATTGTTTATTGGCAGTTTAAAGTTACATTAAATAAAATTCATAAAAACAGAAATAGCGACATTTCATTAATAAATTGGGTTTCATATCGACTCCAGATCTTATTTTGGACAGCCAAAATGAGTTTTATAAGCATAAAAAATGGACAACCTCATTGTGACGAATTCGGAAGTACAATATCTGTTTGCATGAGAAACTCCGCCTTCAGATCATCCGTACATCAATATTAAATCAACAAACATGACTATTAGTAGCAGCTCTAATTTATCTGTATATTTCCGCATTGTAACGGATGTTTTCATACAAATTCAATCTGTTTTTATGAGATGATTACATTTTACTGAACCTCGGGCCTAATGCACCGTAAAGTTAAACGGTTAAAATGTGTTTGCACAAGAAAATCTCATATTTGAGCTGCTATAACACTGTGACGTAGGGCATACACAAGCTGATTATAATCTTCATTTGCATGTTAAAATTCGTATACGAACTTTAGTGTTACCGTGGGGTTTTCAGTTTAAAATCCTAATTTATGAACAATATTTGATGATATTTACAACAATACTGTTAAACAGGTTAATGATACTGTAAAATGCTTGATTTTTAGGTCGACGGCAAAATATTTTTACATATTTATTTAATGTAACTTTAAGATCGTAATTGTCTTTTTTGGACAAAATCACGAGTCATACAAGAATGCATTCTTAAAATGGTATGTGCAGATATTAATGTGATTCTCGTAATAAAGCATATCTTACTCACGACGATATGCATGCCACTTAACTAACATAACTAACATATATTCTCTTCATGTAGACCGACTACTGTGATAACTACATTTAAATAATATTATTTCAATGTCCAATGAAAGGCATGTAACATATTTCTTTTAACTTTCACTTTACAATGTTTAATATTTTACCGCACATATCACAGGAGGAAAACTAGAGGAATCATGTAAAACATTTATTTGATACGAACCTGTGCGTCGTGAAATGAGAGATTATTGTGAGGAAACAGGTAGCACGAACCTCTGAACGCTGTCCAATTGTCCGGACATAATGTATCCGCAGTTATACCTATACAAATTTAACGATGGGTAAATTTCTTTACAAAGCAAATAATTTTAAGGCTTATTTATCCTCGGCTTCGCCTATGCCGGAAATTTCATCTGGCATGGGGGTGCCAGATGAGTTGCGTGCCAAATAACAACGTCATTTTAGCGCACTTTATGGAAAAAAAAACGCGTTAAAATGACGTTGTTTTAGAAGGGAAATATGTGCTTAGGATGACGTCATTTTGTCGTTAGTATTTAAGTTGTAAGTTCATACGCTATTGTCAGAAAATAGTTATGGATGAAATGACTTTAATTTCCATGCACATATATCATATTGAGGTGAACCATTTTAAATATGAAATAATATGGCAGAAGATGCAAGAAAAAATATCTGGCATATATTTGCGGTTCGGATCGGAATATCTGTCCCTCGGGAACCCGCCCATGGGCGGTAACTCGCCAAGCCTCGTTACCGTACAATGGGCGGGTCCCCTCGGGACGGATATTCGGTCCGAACCGCAGCGTATGACAGATATTATTAATCTTGTGTTCTTGGATTATCCCTACTACGAGGGTGATCCAAACATTCGTGGACACCCTGCATAAAACAAAAAATAATTAAACAAATCACATGAAATTTTAGTATCTTATTAAGTGAGCATATGTCGGCAAATTCTCAAAATATTGTAAAGATTGTACAAGAACTAACGATTCCCCACTAGTTTATATACATAGACAGGACAAAACGCGGCGCAGCTCACGACGTCACAAACGAACTTATGCTATCATAGGAAGTAATCTACGTTACCGTTTTGCCGTATAACTTTTCAAAGTATTCCCCTTTAACCCGCACACATTTTTCATGGCGGCGGACCCAGTCTCTAAATGTAAATGCATACCATTCCTTGCTGAATGATGACAGTATGCATTAGGTGGCTCCTCTCAACTCGTCCAGATTGTCAAAACGTCTCCCTCTCAACTCTTTCTTTAACCTGGAAAACAAGGCAAAGTCACACGCGGAAAGATCAGGCGAACATGATGGATGACTGAGTACTTCTGCTCCAAGCTGGATTTGAATGGTCAGCTGTGTGTCCCGGGCACGGTGTGTAGGTGCATAGTCTTGGTGAAGAATTAAATTTTCAATCGATTCAGGTCGCTTTTTTCTCAATGTGTGCATCAAATCTCGGCGAATGACCTGTGGACAAAATGAAGATAATCAAGTTGTCTTATATTGTAATGTTACAATCATTAATAAAACATTATGTAATCATTTATTTATTCGTTTATGTTTTAATTTATTAATGAAAATAGTTATTCTGTAGATTCAAAAACAAATATTACGGTACCTTGCCGTAGTAGGCTGCATTGACTGTCTGTCCAGCTGGGACGGCATGACTGAGGATTGGCCCTTTGGTGTCATAAAACACAATAAACATGTGTTTAGCTGCTGATCGAGCTAATACACGTGCCTTCTTCGGTGGAGGCGATGATTTGTTTTCCAATGCATAGATTGTTGTTTTGATTCAGGATCAAAGAAAAATAGCCATGTCTCGTCAACAGTGACAATGCGATCTAAAAACTGTTGACCCTCTTTCTGAAAACGTTGCAAGAAGTTTTTTGACGCCTGAACTCGTTGTTGTTTTTCATCCGCTGACAGCAGTCGAGGGACCCATCGAGCACTCAAACGACGCATTTCTAGCTCTTCAGTAACAATTCTCTGAACAGTTCCATACGATAAATTTAAAGAATCACTGATCTGCCTTTAACTTATCCGTCTGTCTTTGTTAATCTTCGCACGCACACTTTCAATAGTTTCTTTTTCTCTTACCTCGACTGGTCGACCAGTCCGCGAATCATCCCCAACACTTTCCCTTCCATCTGAAAATCGGCGATGCCACTTATAAACTAGAGAACGACACACTGACGGTTTATTTGACACACTTTCGATCATTGTTTTTGTCTTGCCAGGCGTCTTTCCAAGATATACAAAGAACCGATAACTGTCCGAAGTTTTGTTGGATCTGTGACGTCAATTTTTGATAAAGCTGTTTTTAGCACCTGTTTTTTAAAGGACGAGCGTTAAATAACCGCAACTTCAAAATGTCTTCTGATACTGACAGAATGACGTCATACACATCAAAACAACGTAATTATAACGTTTCCTGCAATTTTCTTTGGTTGCACAGGTTTTACATGTGTTTAAATGAGATGAAAACGTTTACATCACAGAGAAAAAGTAAGTTACGCCGCGATTTTGATACTTAATGTTTTGATGTTTTCATATATACATTAAAATGCAATTGGTGTTACATTGATAATAATATCCAAAGAGTTCACCTCGATAGGACGTCACGTTATGGAGATACATACATTGTCCACGAATTTTAAGATCACCCCTCGTATATATGACGTAGTAGGTTTGGTGAAGTAATGCAAAGTAATGCAAAGTTATGCACCTTCATTACCTGAATTTTGCATTCCAGTACCATTACAAGTAATGAAAATTGGCATGCAGTATCATTACATTGCATTACTCTCAAGAAAAATAATGCATTCCTACTGCATTACCATTAGCAGTATCATTACCCCAAGCCTGATATAGATATAAGTATACACAGGAAAAGTAAAATAAAACACAAGATACATATAAGTATACGCAGTAAAGGTAAAATAACACACAGTATAGATATAAGTATACACAGTAAAGGTAAAATAACACACAATGTAGATATAAGTATACGCAGTAAAGGTAAAATAACACACAATGTAGATATAAGTATACACAGTAAAGGTAAAATAATACACAATATAGATATAAGTATACACAGTAAAGGTAAAATAATACACAATATAGATATAAGTATACACAGTAAAGGTAAAATAATACACAATATAGATATAAGTATACGCAGTAAAGGTAAAATAACACACAATATAGATATAAGTATACACAGTAAAGGTAAAATAACACACAATGTAAATATGAGTATACGCAATAAAGGTAAAATAACACACAATATAGATATTAGTATACGCAGTCAAGGTAAAATAACACACAATATAGATATTAGTATACGCAGTCAAGGTAAAATAACACACAATATAGATATAAGTATACGCAGTCAAGGTAAAATAACACACAGTATAGATATAAGTATACACAGTAAAGGTAAAATAATACACAATGAAGATATAAGTATACGCAGTCAAGGTAAAATAATACACAATGTAGATATAAGTATACGCAGTCAAGGTAAAATAATACACAATGAAGATATAAGTATACGCAGTGAAGGTAAAATAACACACAATGAAGATATAAGTATACCCAGACAAGGTAAAATAATACACAATGTAGATATAAGTATACGCAGTAAAGGTAAAATAACACACAATGTAGATATGTAACGTTTTTAAGGCACACAAACCCTGTCGGTGAAAAGCTAGCTCACCACCGAGAGTGGTTTATGCCCTTATATATGGGATACTATCCTATATGTGAATCAGTCACCTTTAGTTTTAGCATATTGTAATGCTCATTATGGGGATTATGACGTTCTACCAACGTCGTTACATTACTTTCCCCTCCGAGAAGTGTCATCCCGAGAATTGGCCTGGGAAATCTGTGGGTAGTGCAACTCTGGTCTGGCAGTTGTCTACATCCCCCCACACTGGCCACCAAATGTAACGTTTTTAAGGCACACAAACCCTGTCGGTGAAAATCTAGCTCACCACCGAGAGTGGTTTATGCCCTTATATATGGGATACTATCATATATGTAAATCAGTCACCTTTAGTTTTTGCATATTGTAATGCTCATTATGTTTATTATGACGTTCTACCAACGTCGTTACAGATATAAGTATACACAGTAAAGGTAAAATAACACACAATGTAGATATAAGTAAAACCAGATAAGGTAAAATGATACAGAATATAGATATATGTATACGCAGTAAAGGTAAAATAAGACACAAAATAGATTTATTAGTATACACAGTAAAGGTAAGATATTACACATTGTTCAATTTTACCCATGAAATATGGTACTATATCAGTCAAATATATTTCATATTTTTTAAAAATAAATATGAAATATTAATATGAAAGTGGACAGAGTCAAAACTCATATTCATTTTAAGGGACTTCTTTCGCCAAAATCTGATAAATACAAAACAACTTTTTGTTGAATTTTGCTTTGAAAACTATCTTGAATGATAGAAAATGGTCTAACTAAGAAAATAAATCCGAACACCAATATCTTTATTTCAGTTATTAACGCTGTTCAGACGTTTAAACGGTTGTTTACGTGACGTCATAGTGTAGTGTCAAATATCGCGTGCAGAACAAGACTCGATAATATACTACTGCGCACTGTACAATTGCAGTTGCATAGCAAGCAATCGGGTTCGTAAGCATTTTTCTTTGATAAGAAAATTAAATAAAAAGGTTATTTTATCGTTTTTCGTGAAATATGGTATATATTTTCACTCAACATGATAAAATGCTTATAGTTTCACTCTGCTCTCGTTCCCAGGATCCCCTTGAACAGTAATATGATTGGCATTATTATTGCATGTTTACTTGAAAATAATATTCATATAGTTCACTATAAACCGAAAAATATACCGCTTCATACAGTTATATAACAATATAGGTTAGGTCACAGTAACGATAAAATATACACAATTTAGATATAAGTATGCACAGTAAAGGTACAATAATACAAATTATAGATATAAGTGAACATAGTTAAATTGAAATGATACACAATATAGATATAAGTATGCACAGTAAAGATAAAATGATACACAATATAGATATAAGTATGCACAGTTAAGATAAAATAATACACAATATAGAGTTTTAAGTGTACACAGTAACGATAAAATGATACACAATATAGATATAAGTATGCACAGTAAAGATAAAATGATACACAATATAGATATAAGTATGCACAGTAAAGATAAAATAGTACACAATATAGATATAAGTGTACACAGTAAAGATAAAATGATACACAATATAGATATAAAAATGCTCAGTAAAGATAAAATGATACACAATATAGATATAAGTATACACAGTAAAGATAAAATGATACACAATATAGATATAAGTATGCACAGTAAAGATAAAATGATACACAATATAGATATAAGTATGCACAGTAAAGAGATACACAATGTAGATATAAGTATGCACAGTTAAGATAAAATGATACACAATATAGATATAAGTATGCACAGTTAAGATAAAATAATACACAATATAGATATAAGTGTACACAGTAAAGATAAAATGATACACAATATAGATATAAGTATGCACAGTAAAGATAAAATGATACACAATATAGATATAAGTATGCACAGTAAAGATAAAATGATACACAATATAGATATAAGTATGCACAGTTAAGATAAAATAATACACAATATAGATATAAGTGTACACAGTAAAGATAAAATGATACACAATATAGATATAAGTATGCACAGTAAAGATAAAATGATACACAATATAGATATAAGTATGCACAGTTAAGATAAAATGATACACAATATAGATATAAGTATGCATAGTAAAGATAAACTAATACGCAATATAGATATAAGTACATGTATATAACATCAATCTTACCTCCAATACACAGTATAGATACAAGTATCGTTAGCATTTGGAAAACGTCTTTGTTTGACTCCATTCTATTTTTTTATAATTCACTTTATGATTTTATAACCATATTATTCACACATAAAGATAACAAAATACAGTTAAATTGGTTCAATTTTCTACGCGATAAGAACAAGGTAAAAGTTGTTTGATTAGAAAGATAAGCGTGTTCTAATTATGGTAGCACTTTAACTCTGTTACTTATATGATTTAATAAAAAAAAGAATATTCTATGTACTTTAAGAAGTTAAATTAGCGGAAGGCATTGATAATTAAACATAAGTGACAGTGAACCGCCATAATATTTAAGGCAACTTGTCTGTCTTTATCATAAACAAGTTCTATCTATATATTTATTAAAAGGAATAACCCAGCTTCTAAAATGGTCAAAGCATGGGGAGTTTTGTCCCATGTGAAGTAAATGTATAAAAGTTGACAGTATACTATTTCCATTTGTCCTTTCCGCTGGGATCTTACTAAAAATGTTGACAGGTACTTGCTGAAAAGAAAACCCAGACAAAACTTGATTTAAGAACACGAATGGTATATCACTACAGTTTTCATAGTGTTAAAAATATTCCTTTAAAATGTTATTACATTGAAAGTTATGACTATTTTTTTTCAGGTGGCATACTCATTAATGTAATTATTCACGCATTATTTACCAATATTCTCATTATAATTCGATACCTGTTCATACTTTTGTTACTAAGTGGCTATAGATTCTATTCTAAGTTAATGTTTTGTGATTGCTTAAAAATATATGTTTTTATTGCTCCGCTCCCACAGGCGCAGAGCTATTTGTGTTGACTTTCTTTCTCCATGGACCCGACTTTATCAATCAATCCCTTCGATTTACAGCTTAAAATAAATTTCCAGTCAACAATTCCTTCCGATTTCTATTATGAAAACTCATATATTGGTTTACTCTTCGGTGATGCGCAGCATGTCTTATTAATGAATGAGAATGGAAACAAATTCCCAGCATGCAGTAATAAAGACAAAAAAAAAAACAAAAAACAAAAAAAAACAACAACAAAAAAAACAAAACAAAAAAAAAACACAACAACAACAACTCAAATTCTGTAATTTATTTCTTACATTTGTATTTTTGCTGCTACAGGATTTTTATATTACTTTGTAGTACACAATGAGTTATTTTGTATTTTATTTCGTAAGCTATAAATAGAATGATGTCCTTAGCATTTTGAAAGTCCGTAAATTTGTTTATAGAAGTAGTTTTACGAAATGGTCATTTGTGTCGCACTATGATACTAAATTACGAACTGGAGAATTTTGCAGGAAATGAAATAAAAACATATGATATCATAGTTTGGGGACATTTCTGTTGAAAATGTGTCATAGTTAAATCGTATACATATACATGCAGCGTGCGTTAACTGGAGTGCAGGTATTAGTTACCCCCACTCCAGAGCATGCCCATTGATTGGCTCATTTTTGCTGGGGTTTACTTATTGTGACGACAGAGACAGGGAAAGCGACAGAAATATCATATTAAGATGCTCCTTCATTGGTTACTTTTTTCTGGGGTTTCATATTGTGACAACAGGGAACGTGTTTTTATGTTTGACTATGATACAAAAGAGAAAGAACACCAAAACACTCGGCAATCTGATTTATACTCGGGAGCTACGCCCCTCGTACAAATCAGATAGCCTCGTGTTTCGGTGCTCTTTCTATTACTTCAAATAATAAATTGTACTTTTTATAAATTTATGACTGCAATTTTTTACCGTGAAAATTAAATACGGCCAAGTCTGGCTTCCAAACCTTTATATGTCGCTTTTATTCTGACGTTGTACGACAATAAACAAGTCTAGCTGTAGAATACCATAAAACCTATTCGCTGTCTAAGTCTCTTTAGCTAAAATAGACCCTGATTTTCCGAATTTTTGCTGTTCTATATGGTAGTTTGCGACATTTTTACAACAGAAACTGTCGTATGCAGTTTAAACATGAGTTGTTTATGGTTTATTGATAGGAATGTAAACACACTGGTGGATCAGCCGAGGTTTTTGAAGCAATTCTAGCAGATTGACCTCCCAATAAATCAATTAACAGACTGTTCATTTCGACTACTCTTTTGTGTGTTCCTAAAAAATACCACATGAACTTGAAATTCTACCAATTTACCAATATTAATGGTAATATCCAAAAATATCCCCTACATTGTATAAATAAACTTAAACTATATAGGTGATAATTTATTATTATAGGTATATTTTGGATATTACCGTTAAAATAAATATAATTTCAAGTTCCTGTGGAAAAAAATAACAATCTAATGTCTAGCATACCTACTAAAGTTCATTATGAACAATGTCTTTCGTCCGTCCATTCATAAATGATATTAAATTCATTATTTAAAATATAAAACCTATCAATTATTGAAAAGTTTATAATAAAAATATCTGGTCATCAGATGTCTACTTGTTCATCGTCATTTGCTGCATTTCTTGCTTGGACGCCTTTTGATGCTTTGCGTCAATGCTTTTCTTGTTATACCATGTTATAAAATTTGCCGCGAAACATGTAATGGACATTTTGAAAAAGTCGATGAAAGTTTTTGTTTTGGCTTATTTACATATGGATATTTCTTGCCATGATAAGTTGTTGATATTTGTAAAAAATGAGTAGCATGATAGGTGAAAAAGCAAAAAAGCAAATGTACATGCTTTGATATTTTTTGTAATCTAAAATTACTACAGAAGTGACACAGAACAATGTAGCACTACTGTCATGTCACATTACAAGTCTTGTAAGTCTTTTTTGTATTGGAATTACTTTCCTCACCATGTTGGCATTAGTGAAAGCATTCTTTTTAAAAAAAACTTAATAGCTGGCCCCTCTCTCATGGACAGTGCATACGATAAGTATAATTGAGCAAATCTAAATGATTTACAAAACATCCGGAATAATATATTATAGTACTTAATCGGAATAGAAAATGACCTGTGCGTAGGAATGATTTGGTAACCTGTCTGTAATGAGCGCATTTCTTTGCGCGGAGCTTCTCAATTGCGCATATTGTAGCAAAGTTTGGACTTGTAAAGTATTGATATTGGCCATTTGACTATACTATATGCTTATCTGTTATATGTACTGTGTACACATGGGCATTTTGTCCAGATGTATTTTGAAATAACATCCTGAAACTCAATTCTAATGATCAGATAAACGCATTGCTATAAGAATTTCACCGCAAAGAAAGAAAGAAAGAAAGAAAGAAAGAAAATGGAAAAATCACCTACAGATCAGTTTTATTTGGTAAGTGTTTTATCATTGTAACAGTGTGTAAATTACTCATATTGTTTTCTTGACGACATTGTTTTATTTTTCTATTTCAGATAAGAAAATCACGACTCATACTTATTTTATAGAGGAGGCTATTATAAATTATCTAAAAATATTATATTCTTGCAAACCTCTGTGTATTACTTATGACAGTAGCAAGAACTAAAGTTATCTTAAATAAAGACGACAAGTCTACGGGAAATAACTCTAAATTCAAACTTCAGAGTTTTATGCTATATTGTAAACTCCCTTTATTATAAAATGTTGCCCTATCTTTTGTCTCTACTACGATATATTATCAGTGTTCTTCTAGTGATTTTTCTTCTGCTTTTGTTTGTCTCGAGCGTAGAGAATGTCGTTTTGGAAACATTTGCAGCGTAAAGTACGTTTTTAATATTCTCTGCATAGAGATTCATCTTATACAAATTAAAATAAATTTTCCGAGTAAATGACGTCACGAAAATCGTCTATGCAGCATCGTCTATTTAGCGTTACAGGGAGATAACATTATGCTGATATGGTAACCTGAAAATACAGATGATTGCCTCCCTTGCTGTTTATATAAATTGTTTTCATCAAACAATAACATTTTGTCGTTTGGTGCTTCCGATATTTAAAAGAACATGTGACATTGGAATGTATGCAATTTGTTTACATTCTATTCTGTGAGAGAAATATTTAAGTTGCGTAATCAGAACCATAAAGAAAAGAACATAATTGACCTGTAATAAATCTCCACGAGAAGGAAAGCAACAAAATGCAATATGTTCAAAATTAAATCTTCGAAAGAGTGTCATTAAGCTTATAGCTTCCAACACAATCGAACTACAAATAAATTCTGTATAAACCAAACAGATACGTTTTAATATTAATTTTATATAATACAGAAATATTGATGGGTGTGGTATTTTGTTGTGACATTTGAAAACTGAGTAAGATCAATTCGTTTTGTTATTGTCCAACAACATTGACCTGGCACTCTTGCATTTGACCCCGTAGTCGGTATATTTCGCAAACGTTACGATGTACTGAATGTAAATATCCAATTGTTAACTGTTCTAAGTTAAAACTACCTCTAAGCGCAGTTGGTCAAGGGGTTTCAGGTGAAGGATGTAATCGTAAACTATTAGGTTCGAATCCAATTTCAGCGATTCATTTTTTTATTTTAATTTTAAAATTGCCATTCTCTTAGAACTACTGCAAACCTTTTTTATCGTGTATACTATCACTGTTGTATTTTGAAATAACTGCCTTTATAACATGTATGCGCCAAAAGATATAATATAATGAAGGGTCTTTCTATTAAAAGGTCTTTCTAATAGAAAGACCCTGCATAATGCCACAAAGAGAACCGTTGAAAAATATTGTAATGAAATAGAAAAATATAATTGTGTATGAAAACACCACTAAAATATTTTCTAAAACCAGATGAAGTAAAACGATTTCAAGTTGATTCTTGCAAGTTAAGTAAAAAATCATAACGTGGTGTTGGTAAGGAATAGAACAGATAGTCCGGCATCTATACCAATACCAAATTGCTTACTAGTGAAGTTAGCAATTTATCGATCTATTCGATAGATACTGGTCAGTGTTTATTCAAATGACCTTTACGAAAGTTAATGAAGTGCCAGGTCAGTATTATTGGACAATGTATAAATTTTCTTTTTCTGGAAATATACGATAAGAAAACAACAAGAACAACATCAACCCCCCCCCGAGAAAAACACCACCAACATTTTAAGCGAAGGTGAACAAGTAACTGTTTAACTGTTACTGCTATTTCAATTTTAATGATAATGACATTTTATCCAAGTTTGAGTTTTAAAATTATTTCTTTATTTTCATCATGTGAGACTTTAAAGGTTTATGATACATATTTCATTTTTCTGTTTCATCAAACATTCTCTTTTACTACAACAGTCGACGTGCGTCTTTAAAGAATTTATGGATAGAGGGAATTGTTGAATATTATGCTGTATTGGATATTTCCAACGACATAACAGCCACGCCTATAGATTTAAAACAACACTCCCAGATAGAAGATGATGATATGATTTAGCCAATACTAGGATTTGTAACAAGTTAATTCTTACTGTCGACACTGTCACATTTTAAGATGCAAGCTGTATTTGTAAATGAAATACAATGTAGGTAAATTTATCAGATGAAGTCGTTTCTTTTGCTTTTCAATGAAACAAAACTTTTACGCCTGACTTTACAATATACACATTCTCATTCCTGTTTCTGTATTGTAATGTTATTCATACATACTGAAAAAGAATGTTGTTTAATAAATGTACACGTTATATCTAGATTTGGCTTTGGTCGGATTTTAGAGTATAACTGAGCCCATTCAGATACCGTGCATTTGACAACTAAAGTGAAAAAGTTTTTATTGTGTTTTATTATTGCACAATTGGTTCAAATTATCTTTTCATCCAGACATACGTATTTATGCAGTTTCTTTTACTCGAAATATAATTGAGGTTTTAATGCAGAAAATAAGTGAAAATTACCATCATAAGCATTATCATACAACTTAGTTAGATCATTTTATTTTATCTTTTATTTGGTTTAAACAGTATTTATTTCATATAATGCAAACATTTACAATTATGGTACAACAACAAAACATAAAACAGGATTGAAAAGGAAGTCAAAGACAAATGTAGATTTCTTTCCTGTAGATTGTAAAAGTAAATTAAATTATAATGTAACAACACGTACAAGTACACTAACTTGAAATAATTATATATTTCTTTATCTGTTATTTAAGATTCATTATTGTACAATTCATATCATCAGTACATAAGATTTATACATATACATTGCAAATCGCCTTTCTAAAGTATGAAGGAAAAAGATTACTAAGTAATATGTCCGGACTGCAACATTTCTACACCAAATCTTTAAAATAAAGTTTAGTAATATAACCAGTTTGGATTTCATTTCCATGGCCTCTTTAATCCAATATTTGTTTTGAAGACTTTGGTCCTACCCACAATATCAGCTGTTAAACATCGCTCTATGCTGATTGGCTAAGTTCAGCAATCGATAAAACATCAGTTACTTGTGAACCGGGAATAATTCAGTCTTTTCTGGACGTGGACGGATTCGGCGCATACTTGAGAAAAGCTAAAATTTAATAATGTATTTTCTGTGTGTTAAAGTAAGTTTATAATATTTTGGATTATTTTTATAATGATGAATTTGTTGAAAGGTAAGATTTTCTTCTAAATGCTTCATTCAATATCTATACATGCCGCCTAGTATTTTAGACCTAATGACTATTTCCTAAAATGTATAAATTACGTTGTTAATAAAATATTGAGCAGAATTAAAATGTTCTTAAAAATGCTTTACTGTTTAAAGATATGAATGATAGAGAGCTGCAAACAATTAAAAATAAACTAAAAAATGTAAAAAGAAATGATAAATATATTAATATGTATTTATCAATAAATAGCTAAAAACTAAATATATATCATTTAATTAATATATTAGATTAATCAATACATTCATAAATAAATACATTGTACTAGAAAAGTAAATTAATTTTAAAAATACATGAAATACGAAATACGAAGACATTTTTCTCTTTATTTACTTTTGTAAAATGAAATGTCGTCACTTGAGCTTTTCTTTTGCAAAATGTATTCAAAATTAATCCAATGGATGTTTGATATTAATTTGCCTGTTATAATTCTGCGCGGACAGACCGGCGGACGCATTGTTGGACATGACGACTGGAAAACACTTGATCAAAATGTAACAATTCAGTAGACAGTAGACAGGCAATTGTAGATAGGCAGGTAGTTATAGGTTGTCAGGCATTTGTAGGCAGGCAGTGGTAGGCAGACAGTTGTAGACAGGCAGTTGACGGTAGGCAGTGGTAGGCAGGTCGTTGTAGGTAGGTAGTTGTAGGCAGGTAGTTGTAGGCAGGCATTTGTAGGTAGGCAGTTTTCGCGCAGGCAGTTGTAGGTAGGCAATTGTAGGCAGGTAGTTGTAGGCAGATATTTGTAGGCAGGTAGTTTTAGGCAGGTAGTTGTAGGCAGGCAGTTGTAGGCAAGCAGTTGTAGGCAAGAAGTTGTAGACAGGTAGTTCTTGGCAGGCAGTTGTAGGCAGGTAGTTGTAGGCAGGCAGTTGTAGGTAGGCAGTTGTAGGTAGGCAGTTGTAGGCAGGCTGTGTAGGCAGACAGTTGAAGACAGGTAGTTGTAGGCAGGCAGTGTGTAGGCAGGACAGTTGTAGGCAGTTGTAGGCAGGAAGGTATTTGTAGGCAGGCACTTGTAGGTTGGCAGTTGTAGGCAGGTAGTTGTAGGCAAGCAGTTGTAGGCAGGTAGTTGTAGGCAGGCAGTTGTAGGCAGGCAGTTGGTAGGTAGGCATATGTAGGTAGGCAGTTGTAGGTAGGCAGATGTCGGCAGGCAGTTGTAGGTAGACAGTTGTATGTAGGCAGTAGTTGTAGGTAGGCACTTGTAGGTAGGCAGTTGTAGATAGGCAGTTGTCGGCAGGAAGTTGTAGGTAGGTAGGCAGTTGTCGGCAGGTAGTTGTAGGCAGACAGTTGTAGACAGGCAGTTTAAAAGGGAGAATGTTGTAGGTAGGCAGTTGTAGGCAGGCATTTGTAGGTAGGCATTTGTAGGTAGGCAGTTGTAGGCAGGCATTTGTAGGTAGGCAGTTGTAGGCAGGCATTTGTAGGTAGGCAGTTGTAGGCAGGCAGTTGTAGGTAGGCAGTTGTAGGTAGGCAAGTAATGTAGGCAGGCAGTTGTAGGTAGGCAGTTGTAGGCAGGCAGTAGGCAGGCAGTTGTAGATAGT